CTTTACCGATGGAGACGGAAATCTTTCAGGTAGGGTGTGTTACGTCCAATTTTTGCTCTTTGATCCTTAGAAGCACAGTTTGTCGATCTATCTGCAATTCACGATCCCAAATATTAAACCAAAAGGAACCTCCAAAGTTAAGTACCAAAGTTTATTGCCAATTCACAATTAATCGACCAAAATATCCTTGGTTTATTACAAATAGACGACCAATGTCGTTCTAACAACAATAATTATAATAATTACAATTACCTTCTATTTTCTAGGTTCTTGGAGCAAAAAACTGCAAACGAACAACCAAGACAAACAGGAGTCCAAAATGGCCGAAAATAATAATTCAAACAAGTTAATAAGTTAAGTAAAACAAATATACCAAAAAAACAGTGAAATTAATGATATTTATATAAAGGTTTTGATCAGCAAAATGTCTACATTTCTCCCGTAACAGGGTGAAGTACGACATTTATAGAGTCAACCTTTTCTGACCCTTCTATGTGAGCAGGCAGCATCGCTGCAGAGTGAAACATCTTACTGCTGTCACGCCACTCTGCAGTCGGCAGTACGACTTCGCCCTCAGACCATGAGTAGCTGCTTTTAGTCTGATCGTATCGACCAGCCTGGCATGGTAGAACCTTCAGGAACATAAGTCCCAGCCAATATAGCTCAGCTGGGCCATCTTGATAGGCAAGTCCGACCACCACGTCAAAGTAGCGACCTAGGTCGAGACTTAGACCAGTGCAAATATCATGTCTATTTAACGTATTAAACCCGATAGAAAGAACCATGACGTATATGATAAAATTCAGAGGCTTAATTCATCAGAGAGGAGATCGAAGGACGATTCCAGTTTCTCCGGAAATAAAATTGTAGCGCCCATTTAGCTTGTCCCAGCTTCGGACAAAATAACTAGCCTTTTCTGCCTGAAATAAACACATTCAACGGAATGCGTATTTGGCTTCTAATTGCCTCTGTCACACAAACGATGTTCACTTGCTATGATATACGGAAATTGAACAAGGAATCTATTTCATTGCATGTTCAATTGTTCGTAAATAAAGGACGCAATATGGAGGTCACTGAACTAGGAAGCCCTACGTCGAATCTAAGGCTGCCGCAAAAAGTTGAGCCTGAAGACGAGTGCAACCCAGCCATGAATTGGTGACCTCTCTGTCTAATGCAACTTATAAAAAAGGAAACGACCTGGTGGTGTTCAAATTCATTGAAACACACTGGAAGCATGCTGGACATAAAGGATGAGCTTCAGGAGAGATACTGCTATACTCTGTTCACGAAGACGAAAATGGGTCAGGCATCAAATAGTTGTACTGATTCAGCCCAAAGGAAGGTGAATGGCACTTACAGAATTGCAATCACGTAGCATAAGTACTACCAAAGCATCCTTCGAAGCAAAGAAATAGGTGATTAGAATGAATGTCATGCAGTGCTGCTCGCCGATCGACGGCAACATTTAAGACGATAAACATATATCAGGTTGCAGTTAATCATCGAAATAAGCCTTGCAAAGTATTTGACTATTCAGATGGAAGATCTAAACGCCCAGTTTGCAATAGACAACAACGAATATGAAAACTTAGTGTCAGAAAGTATTTCATAGCCATTTAGTCTAGCCATATATATATTATACTACAGAAAAATAACATTTCCGGACCATCAAGAGTATGAAATAACTTCAACAACACTGCCTATTTTCTGCCAGCTAATGCTCAATAGAAACTATGAGAAGATACTTTTATTAGCTTCATGACATAATCGAAAAAATTGTTTGTTCTTAGCAATCACGTTTTATGGTTCAGATAGGAGATGAAACTAATAGTGGTCAAGCGGACTGGAAACACGATCGCCATATTTACTCGAACGAAGAACGTGAAATGTTCACAAATTTACCATATATAGGAAGTGGGATTTATACTCTTCATGGCTATACTCCATTTTCTCTCCGATGAATGAAGAAGCAGTGTCACTTGAATCACCGAAAAGCGCCAAACCTACAACGCTTCGGCGGTATTAAATTATAAACTCGGTTCCTAACACATTATATCATATTTTATCGTTTTGCGAACTCCTAATCACAACTTATATTACCTATAATTTTCACCTACCCATCGGCAGTATTATGGAAAGCTGATTAATAAAGTTTGTTCATTTTCCTCATATCCCTCTCCATTTCCCGGCGTGATGTGTCACATGTCTTTCTTCTTTTCTTTTGCTCTTGAGGGTTCCAAGTTAGGGATGGCCCTATGACGTAGTTGGGTGCTTTCTGCATTGTCCATCCTATCCACTTCTAGCACCTTTTCCTGATTTTTTGCTCCAATGTAACCATGGTTTGTTCGCTTCCACAGCAGTTTGTTGCTGACGGTGTCTAGTAGGCGGATGTGATAGCTGTTTTGAGTTCCAGGTGTTGTAGAAATGCAGCCCTTGCTTTGCCCTTCCGCGCCCTCAAATATGCATCTGATCCTCCTTACTCGGCAATGATGCTGCCCGTGTATGTAAAGGATTTAACGTCCTCCAAGGTTTCTCCATCAAGTGTGATTTGTCGGGTTCATACTGTGTTTTATCGGAGAATCTTGCTTTTCCTTTCATTCTGTATGTCTCTCATGGGTACAATCAAGTTAAAAATTATCATGTCAGATGGCTAAACTGTTTTATAATTACTGTATCTATGATGAATATTACTCATCAATATAAAGTATCATTATTATTTTGTTACTATCACGCACTTGGAAGTGTAAAAGGTAGTAAATCGATTTTTTGTTCAACGTACACAAAAAAGCAAGATCATCATATACACAGCAACGTTCACTAACCAAATCACTCATCAAGTAATAATAATAATAATAATAATTTATTCTCAAATAACAAACATGTTACAAGAGACATGCCAATTTACAGGCAAGATCAAAATGTTAAGATTAGCAACATATTTTTTTCTGAAAACGGTATACATTTACTGAAACATTTCATAAGATTCATTGTTTTCTTAAAGTTGGAATGTACAAAGCGATCAATTGGCGCAAGTTACGAAAGTCGCGTTACGACAATCATCTTATGGGCTGAGAAATGATTCATGGTACAGACAGGTTTTCATATAACAAGAATTGATGCGGTAAATGTACAAAAGTCTGGTTGATATTCGTCAGCTAATGATTTCACATGTCCTTGGGTAGGGTAACCAAGTCTACTGCAAATATGCAGACAAATATATGTGGATTGGAATAAGGTTCTGAAAAAAGAGGATTTTTTTTTTTTTTTTTTTTTTTTTTTTTTTTTTTTTTTTTTTTTTTTTTTTTTTTTTTTTTTTTTTTTTTTTTTTTTTTTTTTTTTTTTTTTTTTTTTTTTTTTTTTTTTTTTTTTTTTTTTTTTTTTTTTTTTTTTTTTTTTTTTTTTTTTTTTTTTTTTTTTTTTTTTTTTTTTTTTTTTTTTTTTTTTTTTTTTTTTTTTTTTTTTTTTTTTTTTTTTTTTTTTTTTTTTTTTTTTTTTTTTTTTTTTTTTTTTTTTTTTTTTTTTTTTTTTTTTTTTTTTTAGCTTGACGGACTCCAGCTTGTTTTTTTTTTTTTTTTTTTTTTTTTTTTTTTTTTTTTTTTTTTTTTTTTTTTTTTTTTTTTTTTTTTTTTTTTTTTTTTTTTTTTTTTTTTTTTTTTTTTTTTTTTTTTTTTTTTTTTTTTTTTTTTTTTTTTTTTTTTTTTTTTTTTTTTTTTTTTTTTTTTTTTTTTTTTTTTTTTTTTTTTTTTTTTGAGAGTCACTGTAAGTAGGCTTAAACTAGTGTATTCAGAAGTTAAGATCGTTATCAAACGATATGTATGTATTAACTGATTAAAAACTTAGGAGGTTTGCTTTCTAGAAGCAAAGTGCACCGGGTACAATAGATAAAGTAGAAGCACTCGAAATCGTAGAAACGTTTACATACCAGGGGATCATCATTGATGAGTAAGGTGAATCTGATAGAAATACGAAGATACAGATAGAAAAGCAAAGGCAACATTACTCAACTTGGAAAACAGCTACAGTTCAAAACGATTATCAACCAACAAGAATGCCTAGACCTATCTAGTGTATGGAGCAAAGAATTGAAGTACTACTAAAACTACCATCAAAACAGATACAGCTGTTATTTAATAACTGTCTACGCAAAATACTCTAGATATGTAGGTCAGATGCTGTCTGAAAAAATATTCGAAAGCGAAGAACAAACTAGACTTCAGGTGAGGAAGAAGTCACAAAATTTCTAGAGATGGATAGGACACACATTGAGTGCATTAACAAATGCGTTAACAGGTAAGCCTCAACTATGGATCCTGGTGTCAAAAAGTTGACATAAAGACCTAAGAACATCACGCCTAGAGATATAGACAAACTTCAAAAAGAGAAAATCAGCGGGTGAGAACTAGGAAGGAGGGATTTGTACCGAGCTGGTTGGCGGAGTAAGCTCTGTTAAGTTAGCAGAAGTACTTAAGTAAGTGAAACCATCAAGGTCCTGTCGATGACTTAAATTCAGTCTGTTGAACTTCATAATGCTTACAGAGTCTTGATTTTCATCCATATTTCTGACCATGTTTATCAACACATATTTGGTTACATCGAAGTACATAAACAGGAACTGAAACCAGATCAAAAATAAAGGCATAGCTTCAATGAAGTATTTCGACCAAACTGTGTGACCGTATGACTAATTAGGCACTAGTTAGACTTAGTTATTTTAGAATCCTGATCGTAGAAATGCTGAATCAGGCACTTTCATAAAACTGAGTGGTTTTATTATTAGTACTATTCCTCGATCTCAGCGAGCATACAGATAATAACTGATGTACCAGAAGTATGTCTTAAATGATTTGATTGTTGATATTAGTTGCACTAAATAGTGACAAATAAGTTAAAGAGAAAGATTCACACAAGGAATTTGTTTTAACTCACCAATTTTAGTTGCTGCTGTAGCTACAGTCTGCATTTACTTTCAAATTAAAGGTACAAAAATTCATTGAACAATGGATGATTCAGCAGCTAAAAAGGGTGAAGATAATAAAAGAGTGTATACGTATCCACTTTTAAAAGTAAGTGTTTTAGTCAGATAACAACTTTCAAACACAAAGGTTAATGCTACAATAATCCCAATTAAAATAACTTCTTGGCTAGAATAGGTATTTTGAAATGAAATTTAATATTATAGTCGAGATGAAGCGTTTGAAAAATTAAATGTGTCATCTAGCGCTATTTGCTGTTCAGAATTTCGGGTATAGATACAAATGCGTTGAAAAAAGCGGTGACAACTACTTTACGTTTTTTCAGATTTCAGTGGAAAACCAATCATTTAGGGATGGGCAAAAGTGTTTATTTAGAAACTTTACCGTAAAATAAAACTTTTAGTCTTGATTCTGCTCATTCAGTTCGGCCGGCGAAAAAGGCGACAACTTGATGCACCGTCAACTTTCTTTACCACCAGTTTACCGAAAACTTCACCGTGAAATTCCTTTGGCTTAATTTTTTGGCAATACCTTTGCTGGGCAAATCTTTCGAAAGCTTTTAGCGCTTCTGAGTACTTACACACCTTATTTTGTGGTATTAGACAAAACCGGAATAAACGAATCTGACAAACTACTCCTAACAGTAGTATAGGCTCTGCCTGAAAACACATGCTAAATTCCATACTGTGAAGAAATTTATTGGTGAACTTAGGCGTTATCTATTGATTCTGAAGTTTGAAAACATTCAAATGACAGATTCTGTCTATTTAACCAGTATGATAGTACATAGAATCACTGACGTGTTATTTAGCAGGTAGCACTGAGCTGTTTGTATTTTTTTCTTTTATTCCTTTTAGTACTGTGACATGCATGAAGACATGCAAACTGAAGTATTGGAGCTATGCGTGACAGCATGTGAGAAACATTCAACTGATAATGAGGTGAGCTGTTCATGTACTACATCTGATACGTCTGTGCTTTTATGATATTTATTTGCACTCACTCCTAATTCTTTGACTACAATACTTGTTTTTTTTACCTCAGTCTCATGACACTCGTACAGTGTACAACGCTGGTTTTCGATTATTTCAAATTAAATCGGAACACATCCACAGTTATTTCTCTCTAACTTTTAAACTCATCTAGTCATAGACATATAAGATGCTAGCTGTCTTACAGAACCCGATCAGATTCAAAAATGTTAGTTTAATTTTTCTTGTATAACCAGCGCTATTCTTATGAATGATTCAAAATGCCTAATAGGACGATAAATCTAGTACGTAATGAAATTTGTACTTCTAGATAAATGAAATAGATCATAATACGCAGCCTAACTATATGTAAGACTCATTTTTTCACAGTTTTGGTGTGTCGTATGATCATGAAATTATCCGTCAATACAATAAAAAGACGTAATACCTTCTTTCATGTATCTAACTAGAACTGAATAAAATCATACTTTTTTATTTAAAAACCATGCAACGGATCCTAATCAATATTGGACAGTTGATGGGGCTTGTCACCACTTTGTATGCTTAAATTCTTGTAGAATTCTCAAATGGGCAGTTGATTGCAAAAAGCATATAGTAAAATAATGGAAGAATTTCGGCGTGAGTGTATTCAAGGGGATAAATGAAACAAAGTTCAGACAAACAATTTACTAACTGAACATCTAGAATACAACAATACTGAACTAAGTTGCTCACTCCAACGCAGTCTAAAAGACTGATCAACAAATTAAATTCAGACAAGTAAAAGTGAGAACATGTGAAGCTTAACTCATTTCGCAGAAATTATAGATTGGCCGGATTTCGCAGTCCAGTTATGAAGCTATCTAATCCTCAACATCCATGCATTCCTGTCGGAATAAAAACTTCAGTTTCAAGCAAAAGTCCAATTTCTGATTTTGTTACACTCCTACCAAACACAGAGGCTAAACCGGAGCAACAAGAGATAGTAAAGTCCTAAAATATAGTTAATTCATAACACTTACAGAGTTGAGTTTGCTAACCTCGAGCATTTAAAGAATTACTTTTATTTTATCTACCATTTTTCTTCATGATGTTTATGTACTTCCGTTATTCCTATCTTCATTCATCCAATTGTTAAGGCAGCAGCTCGTTTTGTAAAAGAAACTATGGATAAAAAGTTCGGAGCATCATGGCATGTAGCAGTTGGTGAAGGTTTTGGTTTTGAAATTACGTACGATATCAATAGTATCCTGTATATGTTTTGTGGTGGAAATTTAGGCTTGGTGGTCTGGAAATGCTCTTGAAAAATAATTAAACAATGTAAATATTTCACAGCAGACTAAAAAATGTGTACAGTGTGAACAACTGCTTCAAATGAATTTTCATAGAAATGCAAACCTAAGGAAATGTTTTGTCAAAATTTTCTCTGTTGCCCTGAAGTTCTCCGATCGGATGATACGTAGAAACAAGTAGATGTATGGCTTATCCAAAAAGTTCTCATCGGATCTCATTCTCTTTTTTTTAATAAACTATATTTTTTAATGGTCAAACAATCTCTTGTTACCTAAAACTTTTGGAATACTTGAGTTATTTTTATCAATATTTATATATTTACAATTGTATTACATCCCGTTGTGAATAAATACATATTTATAACTAAGAAAAACATTGTCGCAACCACAAAAGAAATCCACTGGTGTCAATAACATAAAATGAAGAAGGTTCAGAGAACAGAACCCTTATTTTAACGATGTTATTTACCAAACGTTGTAGAATTCTGTTTATTGCCAACATTGTATACGATAGCCTATGATGAAACAGTGGAATAATAGCATCACTCAACAAATTTATTTAAAAAAAACCATAGGATTTTAAAGTACTGAGTGTAATACTGAATAGTTAAAAGTATTGCATTACTTAATAAAGTTATCAAGCGCTTAACACAAGTTTATTAGAAACCTTAAAAGCAAAAAGGTTCTCACGGTTTTTTTTAAGTTGTAGTTGGAAACTATAGAAGACATGGCTTAGAATAGTTAGCATTGACATGGATGCATTTACTCATCAGTTTTATCCTAAATTCCAAGTCTCTGAGTTGCCTTTTTTAAACCAACCCATATTCTCTAACCTTTTTTTTATGTCCAACCTTATCTTTTGCCAATAATACTGTAACTGCCTCTAATACTGTTTTAAAGAGGTATGAGGACTAGAATCAATGCATGTATTACTTACTGATGTAGATCAACATGCAAAGATAAACATCCACTAAATGAATACGAGAAATAAGTGAACAGTCGTTACTAGTGATTTTTTAAAACTAAAAGAAATTGATAAGACAAGCCTCTACCTTATTACACACAATGGCCTGTACAGATTAACTATAAGTAAGATGGTATAACAAAAGTAAATGATATCGTCGAAAATTACTTCACTGGACAGTCTTCAAGTATTTTAATAATAACGTCTATGTTTTCTGGTGTCTTTGTAAGAAAGGGTAGAATAACAATGGATGATGTCTTCTGTATTTACTTGGATATAATTTAAAATAATAGATCGTATTTGGAAAGGTAAATAACTATGTCTAGTAAAAACAAACTATTACCAATCAGTAAACAGTCATATTTTGATGCTCGTCTAGATAGTAGTGGTCAGATATCATCTGTAAGTAAACAATTTTTAACAACAGAGTAACACGTTATGTTTATAGTTTCGGAAGACTTCATCATAATGATGTCTACGTAACCAACTTTAACGTAAAGCTGGACAGTACCTTGTCTACACTATATGTTTTACGTTGATGAATTCGTTGTTACTGCCCCTTCTAGTCAGTTGTTTTGATCTTAATTTGTATGACTATAGCTTTGCTTCATCAATAGGTCACCAAAATATCGTTGAATTTTCCACTCGTTTAGATGCGCAATGAGAACCATTTCCATTAATAATGATGTGGCAACATATGAAACTAAAATGATTATGAAGGGAAAAAGTGTATAAAAAGAAAAACTGTTGACCTGCGAAAGCCATAAACCAAGGAATCAAACGCCTGAATCCCCTGTTTACTCGGAAAGCCTTATTGTAAGACATCTTCAAATATGCTGGAATGATTTAGATAGCTTACAGACGGAAGAGGTTTTCATGACGACATCCAGCTGACTGTTTGTGAATTAAATAAATCTTTCGTATGTCAGTCATCTAATATTATGCTTTCCAAATCCACAATGTTTAATAGTTGTGTCTCAGTTTTCACTAAGACTGGTGTCCAAAAATCTCACTAGTCACTTTAATCACTATAATGTTTAGGACTTCACGAAATTTCCTTCTTAAGAAGTGTGCTGACGTCCTGTGTCATTTATTCAAAATGACCTTAGATGAATCCTTCTCGAAAAATTTTGTAACAAATGTGGGGAATGATGGCGAAAGTATCTGGTGATAAAAATGTAAACTTTAAACCTATAGCAATTACTTCAACTTTTCTTAAAACGACAGAAAAACTTTTTCCGCCCCAGCCTGCATCAAAGGATTACATTGATCCGTATCAGTGCTTACAAACGCGAAAGAAGTACCTTGGATGCAGATATTGTCTTGCACCACAGTATAGTGTACATCTGAGAAATAGTTAAGTATGTTCAATGGTCATTTCTAGATCATACTTCTGCTCTTGAATTTGTACTACGACCATGACTACAGAACAAGCTATCGGCTTTAGCAGACAGATGGCTGTGTTCTTACAACCCTCAAATAGAACAATATCCTGTACTTGGAGGAAAGTATTCAACGTCTTATTAGGTCAAAAATGTGTCACAAAATCTGTTCTTTTCTAACTTTTCTGCACGATCTTCCATCTTCTACAGAAAACATCTTTGCGTATATAGATGATTCCACTGTACGTATATCGACATCTGCATCTTCATATCGCCTGGAAATGAATGAGTTCTTGCCACTTACTGAAAGATAGTCTCAGGCTTATCCTTTCTAAATGTCAAGCTGTTAAGTTAAGCCTCAGACATAAATAGGAGTTAAACACTGTTGGAATTCCGTAAAGTTTGTACCATTGGAGATTCTCTGATAAAACTAGTGTCGAAGGTTAATCATCTTGGTGTAAGTTTCTCCTGATCCCTTGGTCTTCCCATGTTTTACTGATACCAAAGAAAGTCTTCCGTTTGATTTACGATACAAAGAGGGTATACGCTTTTAGCATCACTCGACATTGAATTTTACGTCTTGTAAACCTGCTTAACTCCATCTGGAGCCCTCCTAGGGTTACTGCCGATCCCAAGCCCGGATAAACGAGGAAAGATAGGCGTAGGGTTAGTGACCCTATCCATCAGAAAACCGATTCGCTATAAAAACGCTAACCATAACAAAGAATTCAAACCATTTTTAGCCCAGGGAAGAATAGGTTGGAGAATGCTGGTCGGCAACTTATGCTTCACTAGGGGTGAGTGTGATCGAGTCTTACCTATCAATAAAGGCGGATAACTATTAAGTAGATGGGGAAAATAGAATACTTAAAATTTCCGACTATCTTATTATGATGACAGCCAACTTCTCATGGTACAATAGGAAGTGACTTGTCGAGTGCAACACACCCTTCAACTTTGTTATTCTCTTCACACTGAACTTATTTTCTGCCTACAGCTTTGCGCCCAAATACAACACCACTGATACGCTCGTTTCGTTGTAAACAAGCGGTGCTTCCGGAGCACCACGTGTATTTCTCATTATTGAGTGCCGTGTCTCACAATCGTAAAGTAACACAGACTTGACTACTGCATCGTATGCTTACCGTTTAATACAGTCAGATGCAAATAAATATCATTCGCGCAAACCACTAATTTTAGTTATCTCAAGTGACAGTTGAGTACAAATTGGTCTAGGAATCTCATATAGAACCGGAAGTTTCGATGAAAAGTTAACATACCACCTTTAGGGCAAGTAAAAGAATGGTATAGTATACCTATATTCTGCTGAAACGTAGACGTTTGGTTAACGCATTTAATGTTTTCGCTGGCTATTCGTCACACGACTATGCAAACCAAAACCAAATGCTAATTCAGTCAAAAGCATTATGTTGGAAATGTCTTACACTAATGCTTTGTACAGAATGTGATTGGACAACAGTAAGCAGCAAGAAATTGGCGTAAATAATCAGAGTATTATAATAATGGCTATTTAACTGCAGTGATATATCCGCTATCTTAATCTCTTCTATATGGTGTTGATCAGTTCATTAAATATACAACTTTAGTGATTCTCACTCTGGTTCATTCATCTCAAGTTGGTCAACTGAGTCATATTTTTTGTACTAGTACAATAAGCCGAAAATTGAATCTAAACACTATAGTGGAGTTTCAGGAATTAGTTTTATTGTGTACCATGGTGCGTAGTTAAATGAACAAAAACAACCAATTACTGCCAATTGTAGCAAGTAATGTTACTACTAGAAAAACAGCCTGACAATCGGCTGACCACTTTTTACTCTCTTGTTATCGTTCTAAAATGAAACTAGTATTCTTCTCTATACCAACCGCCTGAATCCAGACTACAGATATGTTTATCAACCATGGAATTTGTGTTACTGCTCTTAGGAAAGATGGTGCAAACTCGAGATCATCCTCCGATAACTATAACTTTAGTTCTGTCTTAAATGCAGTACTGAGACCTTTAAAATCGATCTGAATTAGGATAACACTAAGGAATAAGTTCCAGGAGACTATTCAAGTATAAGTATATATGCATTATGGGGTATTTTGGAATCGTAAATCGATCAATCCTGTTCAGGTGTGAAGCAGTGCTTACCAAAGATAGTGTATGAGGTTGCGCAGCACCGTGAATTGATCGAAGTTAGACATTAACACCGTTAGATACCGGCTTAGTGGTCCAGAGACTAGGCGTTTAAGCGCAAGACCTAAGGTGCTAGGTTCAAACCCTGCGAGGTGTAGGAGTAGTGGATGTGCACTGCTGATGAGTCCCACACCAGGACGAAACGGCCGTCTAGTGCTTTCCAGTTTCTAATGGTGGTCTAACTTTGATCGATTCATTGCTTCAAAATAAGTGTATACGTTTAAATTCTGCATAATTACACAACAAGTAGTTATAATTCCACATGAGTAAACCAAAAATTAATCATGAACAACTAAACACATCTGTTTACTGTTAAATTAGGGATCAAACAGCTGTCTTGTTGAGTTTATCTTAATAAAATTTGACTTCAAAGGCAAATCACAACTTGCTAGCTATTACACAACTTGCTTGTGATTAAGGATGACAGGTCCCAAACAAATATCATCTCTTACTTTGAAATAATGAACTGAACAGAGAGGAACGCTAACAAAAACACACAAACATCACTTTTTTACAAATACAAAATACAAAAACTAATTCATCATAACACTCAAAACTCGCATCAACATTTTATACAATTAAATAATAAAAGCTAAAAATGAAGAAATACCAACCAGAAAATACAACACTAGATCAATCGTAAATTTTTGTAAGCAACATGGGATCATCATATTATAGAACTTGGTATGTAAGTGTGCTGCTGTGTACATTATTAGATACAGAGTTGGTGAATAGGAAAACCGGATGAAGACAAAGTTGTAGAGAGGAGGAGGAGGATGTAAGTTGATAGATAGTTTTAGAAAATTATTCAACATGAAAAATAGGTACAAATGAATGAATCATGTGTCACCGTCGTTAATAATAATAGAGGACAATTTATGGATAGAAGCCGTAAGCAGTAAGCAGTAAGCAGTATGCGTTAATTAACATTTCTATATGGGGAAAAAAAAATAGGATAACATTTCTACAGTCTTTTTCATCATCATCATGGGCGGGTATTGTAAATCTGTGGTAAAAAGCAAATTATCATTGTGTGTTTCCATTTCATTGACTTGAAGTTCTCAGATAGTTTGTATCCATCACAGAAATTCAAATAGTTCTATGACAACAATATACTACTATCATTAGTTTATAAGCATTACTATTATTATTAATGATGATTAATTCAACGATCGATAATTTTATGACATATAATGATACATAGGATCAATATCATCTCTTGTTGACTGGAAAAGAAAAAAAGCAGACGACAAGTTTGCTGTTATTCACTTGAACATATATATGGATATATATAAAACATCCTGAAGAGAGAGACACAGAAATTATACAATAATGTTGTATGACTAAGAGATTAGTAGTTTATGTTACGACGCACTGATCATATAAATAGAAAACCAACAAGTACTAGATAGTTGCTTCTGAATAGTTTGAAACTTTTCAGGAATGTGTCTCTTTACAACCCTATCGGGGGGGAGTTGAACCGAGGATCAACAAGTCTCGCGTTGAATGCTTGACCTTTAGATTACTGACTGAGCTAGCATCCAAATAGTGAATGCATTTACCCAAAGAGTCTCACATATGGGACAAAACAACTGTCCAATACCTCTAGGTTTGTACACGTAAACGATAAGACAGGACAATTCTTACAAATCTTTTACAGTAATAAGAGGAATATTTGGACTGTGACACTGATTGATTATCTGGTATGGACCATATATGTATAACTCCGCCTGTAGACCCTTCGGGGCTACTGCCGGTACCAGGTCCGGATAAAAGAGGTGGGTTGGCCATAGCAGTGTTCCAAATTACTTCTATTCTTTGTAGTCGATGCTGTTCGCAAAAATCGTTATGTGAAATAATGAATAAAACAGCTGCATTCTCTAAAGTTTTTTTGTTATTGAAACTGGTTCGGACACATTTGCGATTGAAAATCAGTCAGTCGATAAAATCACCCGATTATGTGTATACTGTTCCACACTACACATTCACTTAGTTAGTGTAAAAAGGCAATCGAAATGGATTCATATCCATGTGTCTGTTTACATTACACTCTAAGCTTTAGATAAGAATACACGAATACATGCTTACACTTCATGAATTAGCTTATACCCACCATACATTACATACTGAGAGATATTTAGTGTATATTGAATATATATATATATATATATATATATATATATATATATAGAGAGAGAGAGAGAGAGAGAGAGAGAGAAATGGAATTAGAATATAACTTTATCTGGATGATGCTTAACGTCGAATATCTCAAAGAGAAAATCGCATTAATATTTCATTCAAACTTTTATGGAAATTTTAATAGCCTTTTAAATAGTATTGCAATCAGTAACTTTTAAACTTAAACACTAAATTGATATTCATTGAAATTAAGCAACTTAACTGAGCGTTACAAGTAAAGCAATTATCAAGTTATAAGCATGAACTGTACATTTCGCATAAGGCATAACTTGCAAAGCACATAAAGCATAGATATTTTCGAAATAATGCACGAATATGGTGAAACTATCGAGTAAAACAAATGGAAGTGTTAGACACAAAATACTAAGTGAAAGTAGAAAAAAAATGTTAATCAAACTGTGAACATGAGTTGGTTAAAATGTGTAGAACACGTATTATATATATATATATATATATATATATATATGCATGCGTAAATACAGGGTTACACACAAATGATTTGACAATAACTGAGTACATAGATATTTGTAAAAGTTATATATATTTGAAATAATCTCAGAGATCAAAATGGTCCATCAAACATATCTGGACTTTTTTCAGGGTAACAGGTCCTAATCAAAATTATCATTTTTTGCTGATATAACAGGTAAATCAGTTAGTCAGATGCAATGTAGAACTTCGCACGTAAGTACATCAGTTCATGTTGTCATACCACATTAGCACACAGAGATATAATTGTCAATTCAAATCCAATAGTAGTAGAGGTAGTAAAGGTATTAGCAATGGTCGGAGAGGTTAGGATTACAAGATATTATTCAAGAAGTATGATTCAGTGAGATAAGTTTAGAAAGACAAAACTAGAGGTAGGTAAATAGTCTAACATTGTCAAACAAATTGTTCTATGATGTAAAAAAAATATAACCAAATGGAAATCGTTGAGAATAAATAGACCAACTCAGAATATACCATAGTAGTAAATGATGAAAGGAAAATTAACTCATGAATTACATTGCATTTTTGTTAAATATAATCATGGTATATAGGATTGATAATTTTTTTTTACAAAAAAAGAAAAACTACACCTACCTTAACAGTTAACTTTTGACGAGCTAATGCCATTCGAAGTATCATTGAATGAGTACGATTTTTGTATTCATCTACAAGACGTATAGCTCGAGAAAATGTTAAACATCGTTGATCCACATCAAGAACACGAAGAAGCTAGGTGTATTAAATTATACAATACACTTTAACAATATTAGTAAAGAACTAATGAATAACACACACACATAGAAAAAGTAGTTCTATAATTATTGCAAAAGATTCATTATTAGCATAATGTTAGGCATGTTTTCTTATGCAAAAAATATTCTACGTTGTTATAATTCTCTCTTTATTACAACCCAGGTATTTATTAACGCTTAGTATTCACTCGACACGTTTTCCCAAATCAGAACACGCTTAAACAGGAAATAGATTTATATTCCAATAACAAGCTTAGAAGGAAGACAGAAGTTCCAAAGGAAAAAGACGTTAGCATATTTCTAGTTTTTTTACATGAGAAAATTCTAGAATATTCCCTCAGTGTTGGCTAGCGCTGATTGGATACGAAATAGCCAATCAGCGTGCAACAACGCAATCATGCTTTATTCCAATCAATGTCTCACTAAGACACATGTATACAGTAGGAATATAGTTTGTAGAGAAAAATGACTATCTCGATTAAAAAGAATGAATATATGTGATTAGATTATGTTATGTAACTTTTTCCGATTGTAATTTCGCCTATTTAATGAAGTGTTTAGTTAATAAGAGTAATGGAGTGATTAATAATGAAAACACTTGGGTTAAGAGGTTCGAACATTATTATATAAACGTTGGTTTGGACAGACACATGGTAAATACTATAAGCTCTCATAGACAGTGCCCATTCAAAGAATACTTGGATACATGTTTTCTTATTGAGTCATATTACTGATTAACATTATTAACTAGAATGTTGACATGTCTCAGGCATAACTTTATGAACTAAATAACATTTACACCACTCAACCTTATATCTTGAACACATAAAAACTTTTACAGGAAACAAAGAGATATCGATAGAATAAACCTGAACTTTGAGACATCCAAATAAACTGGGACGGCCGAGAGTGAGAAGAGTCCGCCTCCCTCCCCGAATGCCAGGCGTATATGGCCACTGACACGGAAGTCCTATTTCCTGCCTTTTTATGGCAGGAGCGTTCTTTACAAAACTGAGAGGACGAAAAACGAGTGTCCGGTGTATTAACCGCATTTTTGGGTAGAAAGGATCCAACTTAGAGGAGTTGGAAAACTCTGATTCCAAACCAATCGTACACATGGACTCCAGGATCCTGGCGAAACGAATGGCATATCGACCCACTGTAGATGGCGAGCTGCCGTAGGACTGCAACCCCAGACGTTACTCCACTGCCTCGTGGACTAACATTTTGGGTCAAAAGTTCGGAAAGTGTCCCCAAACTTGATAATTTGTGTGGCGCATAAAGGTTTAAGTGCCTCTTAGCACTAATGTTCGTGTTAAAATATATAAATCAGCAATAAAAACAACTTATTATGTGACGCCACATTATAAACATCCAAAATGACTTATTATATTCTTAGACTATATTATATTGGATCTCAAAAAAACTTGCTTTATCGTGAATAGAATGGGAAATTTGCCAGCTTCATATCCAATCATATCACTTTATTCAGTTACAACAGGTTGGAAATCTATTTTCCTAGTTATTCAATGACTAGCGAAATAACCACTCTACTATTAATCATCGCTTTACCATTTTACAAATACAATTCCATTAAAAATGTAAGAAAAAGAGACATTATTACTTCAATACGATACACATTACAAAATAATAATAATAATAATAATAATAATAATAATAATAATAATAATAATAATAATAATAATAATAGAAATTACTTGTTTATGTGAATCAATACGAGCTTTAATACTGCCATCTTGAATAAGTACTGCTAATTCATTTTCCAAACTAGCTACATTGGTATCGAATGCTTTAGCCATTAAATTTAAATCAGCTGATGAATATGGACTGAAATACTGGGGACAAATAAATAGATAAACGAATCGACAAATCAATAAGGCACATACATATACACATACATACATACGTACACACACACACACACACACAGAAATGATCATTTACAGAATTTTTATTCATGGACACAAAATGAGACAAAACAACATAGTAATCATATATTCATTGATCACAAGTAACATAGAACCTGACGTACACATGCATGTTCTATCAGCTCCAGATATCATACATATGCAGATGAGATTGGATTGATTGATTGGGCCATATCATCCAACAATATCTTCAAAACATAATTCACCATGATTGCAATAACCTCTAACACCAAGTGGTCTCTACAACCTCTCTACTGACATAACTCAATTCAACAATCAATAACCTTTTGAGTTCATACTCGGAGGTTATAGTTCAATGAAACAGGAGTAATAAATTAGAATCTTTTTTTCAATTATCGAAATCTATTATTCGATTACGAAATACCAATAGTATATTGTAAATATTTCATTTAAAACACAGTCACGTGATGATATTTAACAGTATTTAAAATTAGTATTCATTATTATGGATTCTTATAAGGGAAACCATTAAAAAAACTATGAAACAGAAGGTTTAAAATCGCTTAAATTAACAATAGTCATTAATGAGTAACGAAATGAAGATTTCTCAATGAAGTTGAGCATGCGTGAATCATTAAACTAATAACCTAGCAGCATACATGTTCGCCACCAGAGCTTTAGCTTCTAAATTTGATCTCTGGTGAGAGCGGCGTGGCATGAGGCAGATATCTAGTTCTCTCTAGTTTCCATTACATTAGCTCAATTAGTGTTTGTTTTAGATCAAAACTACGTTCTGAAGAAAGCCCCATAATTTCAAATATTTCTAGTGTGATATCTGAAATTATTCGAAACTATAAACATCTATGTGATCTGAATTTGACAGGCAATAATTTCGACGTAACATGTCATTTTGATATGCTTGAACTATTAAGAGTTTACCTTAGTCAAAAAACGAGAGCGAGGATTCGACGGTACGACAGGCTACTACTCTAATCTGATTGTCCCAACGCCCCATTGAGTAAAATAAGAAGACTTGATATGAAGTAGAACATGCATTCTACAACCATCCAAAAAGTACGAGGTCCGAGACCAGAAGAGAATCAGGATCCCCCATTAGGGAATCGGGTCCGAGTCAGAAAACGTTACAGATAATGCATATTTATACAGTTAGATCGAATAGGAAACAACGTTGAGGTACGCGAAACTGATAGCTAAGACGACCACAATATTAACCAGTAGGGATTTGACCAATAGAATTAGACTTACAAAAATAATTCTCTTAGGATATTTGATGAATATCCTAACATTTGTTGTTATGATAGAAACAAGTTAGCAACTATGCCATGTGTTTCAGTTCAACTTAATCAAGTCCTTCTTTTAATGTTAACAACTAACAAGTGAAATACGTTAGCTCAATCATATTTGAAAGAAATCGATTATTTAGATCATTGCTATTCAAATGAAATTATTTTCAATATATATTCTTGATAATCTTTTTCCATCAATGCTTGTAGTGATCTATTTTTCAACTGGATAAACATTTTATCCTAGATTTGCTTTAGCTGTTATATTAAACGCCTAATGTGTACACTGGTGAGCTTTTATAAGAAGCTCCCTAATCTTCTCCATTACTGCTAATACTTCTATTATTGCTATCACTCTTGGATTTGAACTGATAGTTGCGTCTCTGTGTTGATGGGGCATGGCAACCCGAACTGATGTACGTACATACGAAGTTCTGCGTTGTATCTGCCTGTCACAGCTTATCACAAACACATCAAAATTAGAGTTACTTCGGATATTTTATTATTTTGTTTTTGCTTTGAGAAAACAAGAGGTAACTACAGTGCAGTTCATATGGTGAAAAAGCATTTCTAGGCCCAATTGAAATGATTGAAAACTCCACTCAACCGGTGAGCAATAGACAATTACTGTTGAAAAACTTAAGTCAATGCATACTTCCGAATATTTACAAGTACATCATGAACAGAGAAGAGAAGTTTTTTTCACAATACTGCATATTTTGCACAAAGAATTGGTCGCAATAATGAATTATCAACAGTAAATGAAGTTTTACTGTGCATAAATATGTTGAACCTATATGCATTGTTCCCTAGCCTTTGAACAAATCAATCAACCTACTCATTTCCAGCCATTATTCATATGTCTTGTCAATTATTCGCTTACACCCTTGATTGACTTTTATTTGAGTGTGTGCGTGCATTGCTTACTTCGTTTATCACATGTCCATCTTATTTTCGTCTGACTATAAATACTTAGTCATGTCTCGTCTCGTCAAATCAAATTAGCCCATTCTCCTTCTCGGCTTCGCTTTCACGCTTCTCTCTATCATTTATCTGTCTTGAATGAATGTATGTAATAAATTCATCTACGAAATCGTATTGAGCTTTCCAATATCCGACATCTCACAAACAAAGATCGTGAGAAGTAAATGAAAAGATTTATTTCATAGTATATTCCACTGTTCCTACAGACTGGAGAAAAAGAATGATCTTAAATACGTTTAATTGTTAGGGAACGAATGTTTAATGTTCTGCCTAATACATACTACATATTTATTATGAGCTTAAAGCTTCTAACAGATTTCCCAGAGAAAACTTAAATAAAATTCAAAAAACAGGTGATATATTAAGTTGTCTTTGATATACTACTGAACAAACACATCGAGTTCTACTCTGAAGAAATGAAAACTAGGTAACTAATGACCTAACTAGTTATAGAATCTGTTATTGTGATATTTCATAATAAGCAGTTTAATAACTGGATCAGTGGGCCTTAATAACTACAATTGATATCTTTCCTACTTACAATGGACCTCAACACCCATTAACGAGTCAACTAATGTGAAATCTCAACAATCAGTCATGATTTCGGCAACCATTCATTCTCTATAGAACGATAGTTACACTTATTACAACAAGGGTGAATTAAAATTCAAATGTAGAGTTATTAAAACCAAAATCAATATAGAACAGAGGTATCAGACATTGTCTACAACATGTAGACAACATGAAAGACACTATAATATATTTTAAATATCATAATAATAATAATAATAAAACACTACTAACCTGACATAGGGCACGTGAACGAATTTCTCGACATAATGCAGATACATGATCCGACAAAAATATATCTAATCGTAAAATATTTCTCAGCTTATTTAATCGCCCCAAACACGATGCATAGTCGGCTTGATGAAATGATTGTAACATATCACGACAAGCAGGTTCTGCTTCTAACAGTAATCTTAATGATGTATTACCCAGTACTAATGTAGCTAATTCAGTACGTTCAAATGTAGCTAAACTGCATAATGTAATGAAAAATGCTAAATCTGATATAGTGACAATTCGACTTGTCGGTGATTCACAATGATCATGATTAACCTAAAAGTGTGAAAATAAAAAAATAAAAGAGAGGGCATCATTTCTACAAGTAAAAAACAATCAAACAAATTTCAGAAAGTGATATTTCTTTTTGAACTGAAAATGGAGGAAAACTAGTAGAGAACTATTATTACTACTACTGCGATGTACGCTACTTATGTTCACATAAGTAGTATATGATATCAAATGGAAATCAAACGTCTGACAGCTGAAAGATCGAGAAGGAAAGAATGAGAACAGAAGGCGATTTTTAAGTAACGTAAAGTGAACTGAAGTCTGAACAGTCTAAATCGAAGAACAATGAAATCTGAAACAAATAAGGATTAGTTTGCAAATGATGATTTCACGGGAAGGTTTTTGAACATTCTCTAATATTCGCTTAAATATAATTGTTGATGTCCTCACCTGAGTTTTCGTGCACACTACTACTACTACTGTAACCAACTACTTTTTCCACTACTCAGTTGAGAGTCATACACATCAGTGTACACATAAGACAGAGCTAATAATTTTATACAAGCTGGTCAATTTGGAAGTAGCTAACGAGTAAAATATGAATAATCAATTCGACTGTTCAAATTCTAATGCTTTTGATAAACTATCAAAGATGCAATTTAAGTGAATAAACATATTTACAAATGGATTCAGGTATATTCCTCACTTTTTTTTATTTCAAAAAAAGTTACTAGTCATGTATACACAGTAGAATAGCATAAGTTTGCACATGATGTGAATTACCTTACTTCCAACTAATAATTGACCAGAAAATACAAATACTACTTCACAGAATTATATCACAACAATTATTCTTAAGTAAAATAATAATAATAATAATAATAATAATACTAAGTTCTTATTAATATGAGGTCATTTTGAAGATGATGAATATGATGTAGGGAGTGATGATTAAAATGAAATGGACTCTTAATATTTTGCATTACGGGGTTGTGAAGATTGTTAAGTTATACATTTTTGAAACCATGTTAGACCAGCATTAGAAACCTGGAAGCACTGAAAGACGGTCGTTTCGTCCTGGTATGGGACTCCTCAGCAGTGCGCATCCACGACTCCTGCACCCCGTAGGATTCGAACCCAGGACCTTCGGTATTGTGCGCGAACGCCTAACCATCGGACCACTGAGTCGGTATCTAACGGTGTTAATGTCTAACTTCGACCAATTCACGGAGTTGCGTAACCTCATACACAGTCTTCGGTAGTTCCTGTCTACACCCGAACAGGTTGAACTTCACTGGTCTTAATATTTTATCAGTTTGTACTATTTACATAAGTCTATAACAGCCACTTGACAATCATAATAATAATACTAATAATATAATGTTTATTTGTAGTTATAAAATACTTTCAAGTTCTATGCATTGTAAGATATGACAATGCAAATCAATGAATGAACTGATCAAGTTAACTTGCTCATTATAGGAGAATTAGTTAAAGGATTAAAGAATTACTTTTCTTCAGAGTAATTTTATTCACCTGTCCGATGAAATTAAGTTGCAATTAGTCAATAAGAGAAAAAAGACTTAGTATTGTATACTAGTAAATTCTTATTTTAGTTTATATCCGGTCTTTGATCGTTGCTAGGATAGTTGAGTCTATTGATTAAGTCGTAATTTTGTCTAGAGTTAATAGATTGAATAATCTGTTATGAAAAGTTATGATTCTTAAATCTAGCAACTTATAACAGAGTAAATAGTAAGTAGTTGTGTAATAAGATAATAATACCTGTATTGATTTGAATCTTGAATTGACGAATCTAGTCAAACCATCTGGTGTTTATTTATGAAAGTGAAATAAAATATGAATATTCGACAACAATAGAATCACAGTTTTGCAGTTATGGAGATTATTGAGTTTCATTGAAATCAGACCATCATAGGAGAACTGAGAGCACTAAACGGTCGTTTCGTTATATTATGGGACTTATCAGTAGTGCGCATCCATAACCCGTGCAAGCAAGAATCGAAACTGGTACCTTCTGTTTTCCGCGCGAACGCTTAAACACTTGGATTGACATTAACATCCTCGGATGCTGACTCACTGGTGAAGAGGTGACGCGTCTGTGCGCGAGACCGAAGGTCTTTGTTTCAGTTTTTTGTGTGAGTCATGGATGAGTGCTGCTGATGAGTCCCATACTAGGACAAAATAGCCATTCAGTGCATCCAAGTTTCCAACGGTGGTCTACCATTGACCAGTTCATAATTTCAGTTATAATAATCACAGCTTGTACAATAACTTACAAAGATAAGTGAAATGTTCGGTATTGCAAGTTAACCGAAGCAAGAAGCCTTTATTTATCCCCCCCCCCCAAAAAAAATAGTCACAATTGAAATGCAAATTATACAAGAAAACATAATAAAGCTTTTGAAGAGAATCAATTAACAACACAAGGCTATTAGTTTATACGTAATATGAACAAGTTAAGTATAATACTGTCATCATCGGTACTTTGATAGTCTATTCATTATTATATAATTGTTGCGGATATTAGATCCCCGGAACTCGCTTGATAAATATCTTTATTTTGGATTTATTTCATGGACCGATCAGTTGACCTTGAAATCACATTTCCCACCAGGAAAATCCTTGGCTGTGATTAGTTACTGTGTCATTTTAGTGTGCTATTTTTGTGACTGTCCCAAGGACGTCTCTATAGAGTATAAATAGACACAATTTGAGTGCTTGGATTCATTGTGTGCTGGATGAGTGTTTTGTAGATTACAATTTCTACACTAAATCAAGACTTCTCGCTGATACCTTTTGGTCAAGGGAACACAGTAGCCTACCTGGACGCTGGTTCATTGTTTGTTCTCGTTATTCGTCTAACGTGAACTCGTAATAAATTAAGCATGCCTAGAGACAAGCATAACAATAATAACACTATGATTTGAATCTATGTGCTCGTAGTCCGTGTATTGTTATTATCCTAACAGCCTCAGTAATGGCAGAAGAGATAATAATTAACATTATGAAATGCGTAAATCATGCCTAAGATGGCAATAACTTTTGCTCTAAAAAAAGTTTACAATTCAATATTTACTTGGAATACAATATCTTTGAAATCATACTACACAAATCAGACCATTAAAATAACGACACAAAAATAACTTACCTGAAGGAAATTCATTGCAGCACCTCTATAGTTACGAGAAGCTAATTCAACTAGTCCAGCTGCGATAGCCAGCTGAGTTCGGGCTTGAGCTAAAGCATCACGATAGCTTTGGCCACCTGATACAGGAATATGTCCTCCGAAACTATCACCAGGTTGTCGAGATAAAATACGGCTTGAAGGATCTGAGCTACGTGTGGAGGATTCACCGGTTATCCCAGCAGTTGTTGTACGTGTTGTACCCAAACGAGCTAGAGCTTCAGTACGATAGCGTTGTTGAGCGTTTAGTTCGGCTGCATTTGCACCTAATAATGGAGCTGTATCACGTAGTTCAGATAAACTGCTGGCGCGAGTAACATGTGCACTAACATGAGACCAAGCACGTTGAAATATAGCCACCTAATGTTTTTGGAAAATCAGACTGAGATATACTATTTAGAACTAATTTTAGTAAAAGAGTTTTGAGTCATAAATGACAAAAGTATCCTTAGACGAACACAAACTGTTTTGTAAGTATACCAATGCACCTCCATAATAACTAAAAAAAACACAAAAATACAATTAAAACCAGAAGCTAATGCTTTGTCCACTTTTTATGACTCACAGTTACCAGTGATTTAGTTAACTTGGTATGGTGAGGTAGGTAATGACTTCGCACAAGTCACATACTCCCTGAATATTTCATTTATTATGCTTCCCCATTTCGTTGACTGAATTATCTTGCTTGCGAACATCCGGAGTTCAAACTGGGTTAGTGAAGGAGGATCCACCTAAGGGAGTTGGAAAACCTTGATTCCAAAGCAATGATGAACATAGGTTCCAGGATCCCAAGTATTAAGTTATTCTTCGTCCCCAGCTACGATCGTAGCGCATCTTCTAACGTTGCTCCATAATCTTATGGATAAGACTTGTAGACTAAAGGCTCGGGAAGTGAACTCTTAAGAAAACCACTTGCTACGATCTAGGTAGCCGAGCAATATCCCAGCCCACAATTTCCCTCTTAACCCTCATTCGCGTAAAATATACCTACAACTTTTGGTTAAAACTGGTTTGTGTCACTTATATGTTCCCTTTTATTCCCGTTTTGTATATTCCTTTAATTTTAAATTCATACAGCAGCTTGACCACTGTGGAAACTGTTGTATCGAAACAATCTCAAAAAACTGGCTAGTCAGATGCTACCACTTGGTGTGAATTGTAAACAAGGCTTTTTTTGAAACCACGTATGCAATTCAAACTAGTCTCCTCCAATGTTTACACACTACTAATTCAGATCGGATAACAGATAAGGTTAGTTATGTCTTTAGAACGTTTGAACGTAGATGTTTGTTGTCTATCCGAGATCCGTATTCAAAACCATAGTGACGTGCTACATATTTACTCTCTATCTGTAGCTTCGAAAAGTTTGTTTATCCGGGGACCCTGTGACATCGTCTGGTCTTCGCTGACGTTGGTGTTGCACTAAGCACTGGGGCCGAGTCAGGGTTAATCGACCGGATCCCGATCAATAGTCAATTATGTGTTTTTAGATCAGAAAGCTCCATCGAAGTGAGAAATCAGTATGAGAAATGATGTTTTTCATTATTTCTCTTTATGCCCAACAGAATGCAGCCTGCGTGCGATCAAAGATGAGTTATATCATCAACTAAGTGATCTCGTCCAGGAAGCGTGTTCGACTGATGTAATGCCAACTGGGTGTTTAAAAAGGCAGATCAGGCGCCTAGGCAAAGGGGAGAGTCGTTTGAGTGGGACTCGGTCGCAGGTTAGATAACTGTGACGGACTACTGAAACTTTACACAAACCATAACCTGTTTCTGGTCAGCACTAACTCTGAGTACAATCATCGCCGACGTGCCACCCAGACTCCTCCCTCTGCAGCCAAAACATTTTCCAACAGTTTGTCAAAGTACATAGTTTATGGTTAGTGTAATCAAGTCGTAGACAATTACACTTAAATCATGAAGTAAAGTAAGTTTATCAAAATCTCTCCATTGATGGAAGTAGAATCATTTTTGAACATCTCACTAAATGATAATACGAAACTCTAAGAATAGGAAGCAAAAATTATTCACATGAACGTACATAATGTAGAATGTAGAACTTTGTACGTAAGTACATCAGTTCAGGTTGCCATACCACATTAGCAAAGAGACTCAATTGTCAGTTCAAATCTCATAGTGGTAGAAGTGTGGTATTGCAACCTGAACTGATGTACTTACGTACGAAGTTCTACGTTGCAACTGACTGACTGACTGAGATAATGTATGAAAAAACGATCAAGTTGTAATAGTAAATGATCCATTACTACTCAGAAAATTCAGTTGCTCATCATAGATATCTACTCAATTAAAACCATAAAGATTACAATAGGAATATGAAGTGCTTTTAATCTATCCGAAGTCAAATTGTCAATAAAGAACATATATACATATAAACAAATATATCTTCAACACACAAAAAGTTTAATAACACATTGATTTACCTTGATAACATTTAAACACATAGTTAATTCTTGTTGTTGAGATGTACAATAATCTCGGGAACGAGTAAAGCACTTATTTGCATTGCTTAATTGACCTAATTGTAAATATAAATCACCAAGATCATCAGAACCACGACTATTTTCGGTAAAAAAAAAAGCGTTAAAACAAAATAAAAACATAATCACGATCATATTAGATAGAACGATATGAGAAAATAATTAAAGATAGTTAGCTAACATCATAATTCATAGAATTGCAAATTCTTTACGATAAAGTTATGCGCAACTCAGAATTTCAGTTATACAATAAAACAAGCATTCGATAGTCAACTATGCTAGGCTGCAAGCTCTGAATTCTACTGTTTATTTGATATGAGATGCCGAATAATGTACTACTACTAATAGCTTTCAATGAAAATGTTTACCCTGAATTCAATGCGCAGTGGAGGCAGCTTAAACGGAGGCTGATAAGAAGCCTACGCAATGATCGCGAACAGTTGTGGGTAGCGAAAGCAAGAGATGGAAAAGGCAGCAGCGATTTACAACAACAGACAACTGTTAAGACTTATCAAGGAAACTGGTACTAGGAATCTGGCTGTTAGCGAGATTAGCTCAACATAAGATGGTACTATTATTCACTCTCAATTAAGGAGATTGGATAAATTAGCAAAACACTTTAGGGAACATTTCAACTATCCTTCAACAACACCTTAACTGCCTACCATTTCCAAACAACCTGAATAGTAAATTAATGTAAGGCTATACTCAACCTAAAGCGAACGAACGGCAGGACTTGCTGAGTTAAACATTGAGATTTCTAAAGATGGTGGTCCGGTTTTAGCAGTTAGATTGACTGAGATCTTAGCTATAATCTGCGAACTGGACGTAATGCATCTGACAGGTCACAATTGCTGATTGTCCTAGTCTATAAAGAGGGACAAAAGTATTTATGTGACAACCACAAAGGAGTCAGTCCAACTAACATAGAGTCTAAAATATTAGTTGCGATAGTACTTTAACTACGCAGCTGAAATCTGAGAGATAATAGTAACCGGTTGTTAGAGACCATGTATGACATGGCTCAAAGTCACTTGTAATGGCCAAGCTGCATCTATTCTTTGTCTTCGCTGAAGTTCTAATTTTCTGAACACCTCATTACTGTTTTTTTTCTATTTTTGGATTTATTTTACTAGGATATACTTCTCGAATTAAATCTCCTATCCCTAATCTTTTTGATTACCTCTTATACTGGCTACTACCTCTATCACTATAAGATCTGAATGAGCAATTCCGTCTCTCTGTGTCGGTGTGATATGGCAACCTGAACTCATGTAGGTATATATCGCGTTTTACGTTGCATCTGACTGACTGACTGACTTAGGCGGTATCACTTCCTATTATCTTGCACGGAAAACATACTGATCAGGATTTAGTTAAGGTATGAACAAGATAGATTATAGTCAACGATAAATTAATACTTTCGCTTTTTTGAAAACATTTTATGGGAACACTAATGTGTGATGGCTACTGAACAAATAAGAATCTCAAAATAGAGATTTGCTTTATTAATAAAAAAAATGAGATCTAGCGATTGAACTATCCTTAAATCAATAACTAATACCACTAAAACATCGCAAATCGATACATAATAACTGTCTATAACAGGTATATAGAGGTACTAGCACCTAAAACAAGTCACATAACACGAGAACAGTGGTTGATACAAGTGGTTGATACATGCTGTTGTTTAGCCCCTTTTAGGAACGAACACTTGAAAAAAGATTGAGAAGGTATTAAAAGAAGCTGTAGAAAGACTATTGTTATCATTACTATCATCAAAATAACTCGTTAATTGGGAATAAACACATTGACAGTAGAGGGATTGGTTTCGAGCCATAACAATCAGAAGAATTAGTTAGAGTTTTCCATCTAAAACGCAGAACCTGGTACATATATGTGAATTGCTCCTAATTGTTATACGATGTCAATATAGCAATATGGATTACATGTAGCATGGCAACCTGAACTGATGTAAGTAATTACGAAGTTCTACGTTACAGCTGATTGACTGAGAACAAATTCGTAGAACAAACACTACGCGATGATTTCAAAATCCAAAACCCAAGGGGAGATAAACAATGCGTAGATTCAATCGATTCTGAGCTACATCACTCATCATTTCCAACTTATGAGCATCACCGAAACAAGTAGTAAGCTGCACCTACCTATATATGGTTTAGTCCAAAAGTAAATGACATCATGAAGTGATGCCATATCCTGGTTTGTTCAGCTATAGCTTTCTTTCAACATACTTCTAATCAGTCAACAAGAGTTAAGGTAAAAAGTGGTAGGTAATGCATGTTCCCATCACTCCAACCAATAAAGATTCACAACCTTATTCACCAATTGGAAAAGATGGTTTTTAATAATAATAAAAACAAAATTTTCACTTTCAAAATACCGTATGCTCTCTTTGATTGAATTCGCCTTATGATTTTTTAATTCTGTGTCTAATTGTTCCAAAAGCATAACACCTTTTCGCCTCGTTGACTCTTCCCATTTTGCATCGTAAACCAAATTGGCTTCGTTCTGTAATTATGTATATACATATATAGCTTTTAAAAACATGTATTTGAAGCCACTTCTTATAATTGCAATATATAGATAATGATTTATCAAGACAATCCTGTACTTGATAAATGTTTTGCTAGACAGCATCTAACTTTGTAGCTATATTAGGATATAATATATGACTGTTGAAATGTAGGTACTTCAGTACAACAAAGAGTGCAGAAGAAATAAAGCCTCTCAGACACATGTTTTGGTTTCGTCACTTACACTAAAGTGATTACAACAACTTACACTTAACGAAGTGATGATACTTCTTACAAGTGAACGAAAAATGTCGTTGCTTGTTTTACTACGATAAATTGTAATCCACTTATGTTTCCTTTCAATCCTAGTTGTAATCCATTGTTTACATAAAATAATACCACTTTTGACGATTAATGAACGATTTTGATACACAAGATCCCAAGGATGGAGTCATAAATTCTGTGAACCAGTATAAATTTTAACCAAGGAAATAATTTATCGGGAAAGTTGATTTACTGAGACTCATTAACAATACTAAAGATATTGTTATGAAATTTGGGATGTTATATATATATATATATATATATATATATATATATATATAATCGAGTAAACTGTTTTGAGCAATACCTACGAGTGTATGACTTACTTTTCCGGACATGACATCAGTTAAAATATTTCTAGCAGCTTCCGTAAGAGAGGAACCGATTACGCCTAATTCATCTGAGCTGGACAAACCCAAGCCATCTGAACGATGATTGTTCGTAATAAGGCGCATAGTGAAAGCCGACTGCTGTTGTTGTCTAGAAGTCTCACCGGATGCTGATGAGTTAGCTAAGGAAACGTTTGCCTGTCAAACAAGAAAAACAACTTAGTCTATCAACAAGATAGAAATATCTTTGTAAAAACATTGGATGACAAACAATTAATTACAAAACAGAAATTGACAAAATAAATATTTTCAGAGAGCTAGTTTTGGCATGCTGAGATAATATAACAGTTGGAATAACGTACGGTGGCTGAAAGACGTTAGTTAGTACCCTAACTACCAGTTATAAAAAACTAGTGTAAATTAGACAAAACTGAATGAGAATTAAATACTGACTTAATCAGCTTCAATGTCAGGTTTAGATATCGTGAGTTTTTATTCGGAATCTCCATTTTCGTGGCTGACTTGCGGAAAAATTCTTTGGTAATCAGGTGAGCCCACAATAAGGTATTTTTGTTTTGAACTTGAACCTCATCAGTCTAGAATAAAACGAAATGCGTGTCCTGGAATCCGTTGCTAGCTACACGCCATCTGCTAAATGTAAGCTAATTTATTTGTTCGAACAACGAACTCCCTCTTAATTGAAATATAAGATTGTTGCTAAGAGATAAATTGAGAAGTAAGCAATAAATCTGGTGTAAAACAGGAGTCAAAGACTAGTGCCTACAGTTTGATCTCCCGAATCTTCAATGGTGTTTCATTTTAGTAGTCTATTATTTTACAAACTTACTAGAGATATCAAGATAAATAAGTTCCTTTCTACTAATTATAAGACCAGTAGGTTACATTGTCCCACTTGTAGCTGGACACAGAAAACACTCCCAAAATACACAATCTATACTTCGAAGACACCTATGATCAAATACCAGTAACCAATGAATGGGCGACGTTTCACAGTCAATAAGTTGAACAAAGCGGAGTACTACACGGTAAAATCGTCCTTTAGTTGGCAAATGTACATCTCGTCTACGCCACAAGTTTGATTTTTGAATCCAGTCCCAGATTTCACCAGACAAAAACCCATCCGGGTCGATTAAAATCTCAAGTAAAGTGATATACACGCTCAACTACATAATACCTTATCGTCAGTTTAAGCGTTGAGCCAGATCGTTCCTAAAGCAAACTTTGCATGAAGATGTGCAGAAACGTACCCACAATCATGCTTGCGTTGTTGCATAAAACAGTGAACAGACTACGCGTTTTCATCAAACAGGATACCGGTAAGAATCAGAGACGAACTAACACTCAGAACACCATGAAAAATAATCCAAGTTCTTAAAGTGATAAATACTGGACTGAAAATTTGAATCAGAATGCACGTGTTAGCTTCAGTTGAACCATGAAACAAACCGAAATCAAATACATGGCAAAATACAGACTTTTAACTGTCATACTTCACAGAAACCTTTGATATGTGAAAAAGCTTTGACATTAACTAATTTGCACTCGAAAAGATATAAACTCAAGGGATTTATGATTACTTACTTGCTCTGCTAACATTAGAAAGATTTTATTGTATGCAGAGCTATCTAATGTAGACTTTTTGATGTAATCGTGAGCGAGGCGCAGCGCTGTAACACGTAGGGAAGGGCAACGCTGAGCAATAAAAAAGAGGCGCTGATAGTATATATATCCTTGGTAGTTTGATATATAATTTGCCAGGTCCTGAAAGAATATTGATCAAGTATTATAAAGTGACTAACAATTTGAACTTCATCATTGACTGTTTCGTATTCTGTTGAAGCGTTAGAGGAAGATGGAATGTCTTCAAAAAGCGTAGGATCCAACTGAAGCATGATTGAAATTGGTGTGTACGGTTTGGTACCGCGACAGTTAGTATACACCGCTTCGTTCAATCAGCCTTTGGCACTAAATCCTCCAATTTCCAATATCTTTGTCACGAGTTATATAAGCCGATTAAATTTTAGCGTTGGCTTATTGTCCTTTCAGTTGGACGAATGTGCGGCTACCTGATTGCACAGATTATAATCAGTAGGCAGTTATTCATGAATTCGTATGTCCTCCCTACTTCCTTCAAAGGTTACTGCTATTCAGACCCGGATAAAGGAGGATGGTTAGGCTTGAGGTTAGCCACCCCTACCGCACGAAAAATCAACCCTCTAACAAAACGCCAACCGGAAAATATGATTCAAACCATTCAGAGTCTACAGTGAGAGTTCGAAAGTCTTCATTTAGAAGAGTTATGATACGTCATTATGAAAGCTGAATTTTTTAGAAAGTTACTAAACGAATGCATCTTTTAAAAACCAGAGCAACCATTATTATAGGTCTGTGGAATGGTCGCACCGGCTGGAAGAACCAAGCACATAGCTGCGAAAACCGAAAGATAGAACCCAGTGGTGGTGAAACACAATGGACGCACTCTGAAAAAAACGATGAGCTACCGGAAGGATGCTGTTGTGCTACGGACAGGAAGAATAAAATCCTTTACGATAAAAATTAGTTATATTGATGCTGTCCAAAGGAGAATGAAAAGGATACAAGCCTCATGGACGCAGGATCATCAAAGAATCCTTCAAGACAGTAAGGAGGGATTAAAATGAGTTTCATTAGATAAAAAGGCTTAAGGCAGCACCATATTCACACACAAATACATGTAAAAAGCTACGTGGGTTTCATCAGATCACACTGCGTGGATCCAGTCTGCATCAACAGAAAGTTCATAAGGATGATGAAGGACGTGAGAACAAAGAAGGGAGCTGACATAGATTCAGATAATCATTTAGCAATGATCAAGATGAAAGCGAATCTGAAGAAGCAGTGGATAACTGGACAAACAACATCACAAAAGTTTTATCTAACCTTTCCTCGGGATGTTGACTGTTTCAACGATCCCAAGATAGCCCGCACCATGAAGTACCAAATTTTTCACAATCTGCTCGATGGAGAAAAATCCACCATGGAGAAAACCTGGAAAGGTATCAAGCATGTAATCATTACGACATTCGATAAGGTCAGGGCCATAAGAATCATCATCACAAAAAATGGGTTTCTATCGATAATCTGGACATTAGCAATCAGAAACTTCTGAAAAAGAGCGAGGGAAATCATGGGCAGCCCAAATACACGGGAGCGAAAAAGGATATGAAGAAGAGAATCGGAGTTCATAAGCGAAATCATACGGAAATTCTAGCACTGATTGCAGAAAAGCTGCAGGCGAAACAAATATGAGGCAACTATAGGATACAAATAAGTGGTTCGCCGGAAATATAGTTGACCAGAACAACCAGTGAAGAACACTCGCATTCAAGGTCAATGAAACAGGTGAGTATAGCACTTCAAAGAACTCTTGAATAGACTCACGTCACTGAACTGACCCAACGTCGAAGAAACAGTTGATTTCGCGACATTAACAGAAATCAGAAAAGCGAACAGAGTAGTATTGCAGATGGACCAGACAACATTCCAGTTAAGGCATTGAAAGCAGACATAGCAGTTACTGCAAAGATGCACCATGCTCTGCTCAGCAAGATTCAGGTGCAAGAACGATACCGAAAAGTTGGAGAGAAGAATACCTCACCAACATCTCAAAGAACAGATATCTTGATAGGCTTAAGAGCTAGAGACATCACAGTACTGATCTTTGTTTATAAGCAGCAAACTTCACCTCTATCGAAAATAGACGTTTCTATCTAACTTTTTTCAGTCGTTTACACTTCTTAAAAGCACGGTCAGATAAGGTATTTTCGGTCTAGAAACCATTTTAGTGTCTCCCCTGTTCCGAATAATATGCGGACATTCTACCTGTCTACAGTATTTACGGCTCATGTTGTCAAAAGTGTCATCGGTCTCTCAAAACTGGAAGAATTCAGGCCTTATTTAGAAGACACCTTATCTCTTCAAATTGCTGACTCTGTCTTGAACCTTCCTTTCTCGTTCTACCCAATCGTTGTACATTCGTGTTTACCAATGATTCTCGAGACATATGCAAGTGTTTCCACACCTCTATCAAGTGTAATTTGGTTAATACCTGTTGTGCCTTATTGAAAGATCTTACTTTTTCCCTTGTTCATGTTTCATGCTCAACATTCCTCACTAAGTCGGACTTGAAAATTATAGTAACCCTAGAAAAGCTCCAGAATCTTAAGATGTGAAATTTCTTTATCAAACAGTACACGTGCCAACACTCGGCATGCGCTTCGAGATCGGTGTGGCCTTGTCGACCTTCCTCCATCACCAGAGAAGAATCTAGTTTTGAACACCAGATTGGGTTACTTAATCATTCCTGAAGATATAAAATTTATCTCCATTCACTGGTTGACCCTCTGAGTACGAATTCGGACAAACGGAGTCATTCTAAGTCAGATTCACTGGGTGGTAGTTCTAGATTTCTAGATGAACTGCTCTCTTCCTAGTTGATTCGGGGGCATACACAAATTCGATCACTCACAAACACAGGGATTGCGGAAAAGGTACTGGATCCACGCGAAGTTGCTTACCAGGACGGTCAAAGGTAAAGATGCAAATTTGGGGGCTTTCAGGTTCTGTTCTTTCATAGTTATATCTGTATATTACTAATTCCCTCTATCCAAAACTCCTATTTCGCGTATTTTCCTCTTTCGATTATCTCCTTTTTTCAACGCTAAATCTCTCAGAAATCATGTTAAGCAATTAGGTTGCTACCACTTCTTACACTAAAACCGTAGAATTAATTTTGAAGGCTTTGCTTTGTGGAAATCCCTCTATGTACATATCTGTAATATGTTCTTACTGACTCTTTCGAAGGTGTGTTTTGGTACTCTGTTTAATCCCATTTTGTGATGATAATAATTGTATTTTGTTATAGTTTCTATTTTTTGTACCTTTGTTGGAGTTTCTATGTTTTCTACTGAACTGTTTTATGTTGTTTAAATTGATACTTAATCATGACGTCAGCAATATCGCATTTCACACCCTGACGGGTGAAACTTGAATTTGGACTGGAAGGGTGCAATTTTGGAACTATACGGAGGCATTCTTCCAGAATTGGAAATACATTCTGTTAAATTTGAAGAACAGTGTAATATTGTTTAGGTAACTGTATGTAACTTTTAATTAATTATGGAACCATTTCTTACCCGGATAGATTGCTTTATTTCTGGAAAGGCGCGTATATATTCTTCTAGAACTGTTCTTCCGAATTCAGAAGCCACTCAAAAACCTTACAGTAACAACCAGGAAAACCTGTAATGGTATGAATTCAGGGGTTAGTAGTAAATAGAAAATCCCAGTCTCCAGTGACAGGGTTGTGAAATACTCAAAACTTCACTCAACAGCGTTGCTTGGTGTAATGTTTGTTATTCGGATAACACGACCCGAACACCTCCACTGGGTCTTCAGATTTCGACTCCTAAAAAGACAGGCAGGCGAGATAATCATGGGAGGAAAAGGCACCAGAAAGCTCAGTCTTTACAGCCTGTCGTTCAGAAATTTCACAGGTGTGACTGTATCACCTGCTTCATGACAGTCCAAACCAATGGCTCTGCTTTTGAATGCAAATCCTGTAGTACATGGGTCCATACTACAGCACCAAGAGAGTACTGAGGGTTTGGGGAGAGTCACCCCCGTCCGTGGTCCTGGTATACCTGTCCACGGTACAGAATAATCTAGGCAATGAGAAAGTCAGCATTAGCGAAGCCACAGGCTCCATCAAATACCAATCCACAAATCGTAACAGGTAAACCTAAATATCCGGGCAATAAACCACGGAAACAGACGACAAAATTAGCCATAATCTGAACCAACAAACCGAATAAACAGCCGGTTTTTGTAAACCCTCAGTATCTTTTAAGGACACTGAAGAGTGTGTGAGCGTAAAAAATCTTAACGGCAACACACCAGCTCGCAGAATGTTACCAATCAGTGACAGGGGCATTAGACTGAATTCATTAGTTTAATTTAAAGTTCCAGTATTGGAGGGTAGTTTACTAGAAGGTAAGGCTGCCTTTGATGAATAACAGCGTTTAATCTTCGGAGTGGGCAGTAATCCTGCCAGTGTATGCCGTCTTTTCGAAGTCCAGAACGTCATCACCGCCTCTGACGGCTGGGATCTCCAGAAACCGAGAAAACCTAACTGAGGTGCATCAGGTTTGTTACAGCTCCAAGAACGATCTCGGTAGCGCACGAAAATGACAGTTGACCTTGATCAACAACCCACGGCACGAGACAAGAAGTTAACGGGCTCTCAGATAGAACGCGCCATGGAGGCAAAAAACTGAAAAGGCCAGTTCCCACAAAACTGGCCAACTCAGCTTGAACAATTTGTTTCACCAGGTGTTGAGACAAACCACCAAGTTCCTCTATAGAAATGTAAGAGGACTGAGAGGTTAGCTATAGTAAATCAGTATATGTGCTCTCAGGTAGATTTGAAGATCATAATCCTAACTGAAACATGGCTACTCCCTGACATTGCAGATAACGAAGTGAGCCTACATGGCATGACACTCTTCTGAAGAGATAGGGTACACCAGACAGAAGGTGGAGTGGCTATAAATATCAACGACCACTTAAAAGCCGAGATACTTTAGGAAATTCAACTAACTGCGGTGACAAAATCATGTTGGTGTTGTTTCCGCTGAACTAGAACGAAATACTTGATTAGAGGGATTAACCGACCTCCCTATGGTGCTAAGGCCAAGAAAGACAAACTGACTGAGGCAATACTGCAACTGCCACTTCTTAGGTTTGACCAAATACTCTGAGCTGGAGATTGCAACACCCCATTTCTAACTCTCAGCAAACAGAATATAACTCCCACTGGTTGGTTCCAAAGACGACTTGGCGAGGCTATTAGAATCTCTGGGCATACTCAGCATGTGTGCAACGCTACTGGATTAACTGAGGAGAGAAAATCCTCAAACTTCGATTATTTGTTAACAAATGTTCAGCTCCTAGTCAAAGACGTTCACGTCCATACACCACTAGGAAGTAGTGACCATGGCACAGTCTCGTTTAACATGGT